AGTCAATGCTAGCACGCTAGCACTACGACGCTAGGCAAACGCTGTCCGAGCCATAACTTTGCAATGGCAGAACTTTTCACGAGGCAACTTGGTTTATTTCAAAGCTCTTGGAGTGAGCTTCGATATAGCGAATTCTCAGCTGAATCCGATCGACGGTCTGCACGGCACGCTGCGCAACGTTCAAGGTACTCTTGCTGTTTTGACTAAGTCCCTCTTGATCCCTCTCTCTACATACTCGGACCTTAGGATAGGGGCTGGTCCTGTACCAAGCACCCAGGGACCCTTGGAGGTGACCCTGAGGAGAGGTTTTAAGTTGGATAACGTCTTAATAGCCTGAGTTTATTAGGCCCTTACACCAATACATGCTAGCTGGTTCCTCTGGTGCAGGGGCAAGAAAACAGTATGCAGGCTCGTCGTCCTCCCCAGGTCATAGCAATGAGGCAGAATCAGCATGGCCTCGGGGCAAAGGCAACTTGACGGACTGTTGGAGAAGGGGTTCATCCGACCCAGTACATCTCCTTTCGCGGCCTCGATCCTGTTCACGCCGAAAAAGGACGGCTGCCTTCGCATATGCATTGACTATCGCGCGCTCAACCAAGCTACCATCAAGTCTCGCCATCCCATCCCACGCACCGACGACCTCCTCGACCAACTTCGCGACGCTCGCTAGTTCTCGAAAGTCGACCTACGAGGCAGTTACCACCAGCTAAGTGTCTTCGCTGACGATTGTCACAAGACCACCTTCCGCTACGGCAGCTACGAGTTCACCGTGATGCCTTTCGGCCTCACGAACGCGCCGTCGACTTTTCAACTGACCATGAACAGGGTATTCCGGGACCTTCTCGACAAGTGTTTTATCGTATACTTGGACGATGTTTTGATATTTAGCAGTATACGCCAACAACACCTCCGCGACCTCGATGCAGTCTTTAAACGACTCCAGAAGCAGGAGTTGGAGTTTTTCGGGCACGTTATTTGACGCGATGTCATCAAGATCGACCCGAAAAAATCAAGATTATACAGGAGTGGAAGGCACCAACTAATATCACGGAACTTCAGTCCTTTTTGGGGTTCAGTCCACGACTTGCGCTGCTTGCGCGCGACGACGACAAGCATCAGAGCATTTGGTACCTCGATAGCTGTTGCGGGCAGCATATGGCGGGATCGAAGCGCTTCATCTCCAACGCCGTCTTTACCCCCACGGTTACCTACTTCATCATGGCGAACAATGAAAGGCTACGCACTAGTGTGCAAGGAACGTCGTGCTGAAGGCACGCGACAGCAACACGCACATCAACTTGAATGGCGTGCTCATCGTCCAGAACCTGCGCTTTAATATATTTTCGGCGTCCGAACTGATGGACTGCGGCGTGAAGCTTCGCAATGATCTACGAACGCGCAACATTCTCCTCCACTACGCGCCCCCCGACAAGCTGCGCAAATATCTTGGGCGAGCGCGTGCAAACTGTAGAAATTCACTACTATAGCAGCTTGATAGAGCTCGGGAGCACGATTCCAACGCACCAAAGATTGCACGAAACGGTCAACTATAGCCAAAGATACACACAAACATAGAAGTGATAGTGACTGAGCTGATTTCTGGTTTGTGCTTTCTGGTTTTATACTAGAACGCAATACAAAGAGAGAGCATACAAGAAAGGGTCGACCTGGGTCGCACGCTGATTTTCGTCGATGCGAAATTCCAAGCCTTGAATTTCGCCGGGGGAATTCCATTTACTGGAATTCCGTAGACGAGAATTTCCACGACCAGAATTCTGTCGACCACCGGCTGTAAGTTCCGTGCGAATTCCGTTGACTTTGACACTTCGCTGCCGAGACCGGTTTCGCCAAACTGTCCCCAAACTGTCCTGAAAAGACTCTTTTGGGACACTTGAATCGAAAGGTATCCAGATTGAAACTCACGTGCATCATAACTAGCGCCTAGCAGAAACTGTCCTGAATCTGTCCGAGGACACCTTTAGGACAGATTGAAGGTCACTGGTTCGAATCCCAGCGCCAGCATGTTGTTGCTCACGGCAGCAATTCCTTTTAACACGCCCCTTTGCTGTCAGGAGCATGCTGGACCAGCCCTGCTGCTGCACAACAACGGTTGAAGGCTGCCTTGTCGAGCTGCTTCGTGAAGAAATCTGCGGGCTGCACCGTCGTAGGGATGTGCTGCAGCTCCAACTTCATGCGCACCATGTCCTGCAGCCACATGTGGCGACGTTCGACATGTTTGATGCGCCCCTGCAGCCCACCATCCCGGCTGAGCTGTACCGCGGACATGTTGTCGACGTATAGGGTGGTGGGAGCACCAATCTTGAGCAGCTGAAACTTCCACAGCAGGAACCTTAGCTTTCGCCCCTCCTTTCCCGCTTCCATTGCAGCCACAAGCTCGCTCTCGGTGGAGGAGAGTTTGGTCGCACCCTGCAGCTTCTTGGCCTGCCAGGAGACGGCAGCTCCGCCAAGCGTGAAGAGGTAGCCTCCAGTGCACGACCGAGTCTTCTAATCGCCAGCATGATCCGCATCCGCATACCCACAAGGGTCAAGCTCTCCGGTCCTCCGTTGAACAGCAGCCCCATGCCCGGTGAGGCAGGCCAGTAGAAGAGGGTGCGGAAGCGCTCATGCCAATGCGCATCCGTCCTCAGGTGCGCACCAGCTGCAAGGCGACTGCATGCAAAAGAAAGGTCAGGACGAGTAGAGATGGCTGCAAACTGCACCATGCCAAGAATTGTCAAGTACTCGGTCATGGTTCGGTTGGAAAATTGGCCGGCATCCTGCTTGCCAAAGCTGGCAGAGAAGAGAGGAGTGATGGGCTGCTTCTTCGGTGGCGCCCCCTTGAAGAACCGCTGCTGCAACTTCGCCACGTATGCGTTCTGGTGCAGGAGGAGCGTCTTGTTGGGGCGGTCCCGCACAATTTGCAGCCCGAGGTAGCGTTTCACTGGTTCGACCTCACAGCGCTGAAACGCCTTGCCTAACAGCTCCTGCAGCAGCTGCTTGTCTTCACTTGCCGCTAGCAGGTCATCCATGTCGATTAGCAGCCACACGCGCTTCCCCCTCGCCGATTCCTCCTAGTATAGGGCCTGGTCCAGAAGGCTCTTCCTGTACCCCTCCACAAGGAGCACCTTGTCCAGCTCCTTGTACCACAGAAGAGGACTCTGCTTTAGCCCGTAAAGGCTCTTCTGCAGGAGGCACACCTTGCTGCTACCGTTGGTGAAGTAAGGCGGCTGCTGCATGTAGATCTCGTGGTCGATGGTGCCGAAGCTGCAGCAAATACATGCCCATAGCTGCTGTAATTGAGAGGAGCATACGAACGGTGGTGTAGCTGCCAACTGGAGCGTAGGTGTCGTTGTAGTCGATGCCGAAGCGCTGGCTGAAGCCCTTTGCCACGAGCCTACCCTTGTACTTCTCCACAGTACCATCAGGTCGTAGTTTTTTCTTCATAAGCCACTTGACGCAGACAGTCTTGCGACCCTGTGGAAGTTCAGCCAACGTCCACGTGCCTTGCTCGTCAAGGATCTCCATATTGTCCTTCATAACAGCCAACCACTCGTTGCGTTCAGGTCCGGTCAATGCTGCTGCCAGGTCAAAGATGACACCTCCCCAAGCCCCTTCCTCCTCATTCTCATCCGGGTACTCCACTTCGTCGTCGCCGTCCGTATCGCAATCATCCTCAGCAATGTATGCCATGTCGTACGGGTTGTCCTCATCGTCCGTATCCATGGCCGTCATGGCTGATACGGGAAACTGCTGGAGAGACGTAGTGGTGGTGGCACCCCCTCATGATCAGCCGTGTCGCCTCCGTCCTCAAGAGACAATCCTCTGGTCCCACGGGCGCCGAATCAGCACTTGAGGATGGACCGGGAGGTGGCCCAGCCATGGGTGCCTTGCTGCCTGCAGGGCCCACCGAGAGATCTGCTCGTCCCCTTGCATGGACGGCACCGGGACCACGATGACGGTACGTGGTGGCGACAGATTCTGCTCGGGGTCGTGGGGCTCATGAAAGAGAGATGGGACTGAAGCAAAGGGTGGTGTGGGCTGGTCATTCCTGTCACCCACGCGTGCACGCCAATTCTGCCAATGTTCAAGTGACATGTCCTAATAAAAACGTGCATCTCGGGTGATGACCATGCGTCTTGACTCAACATCCATCACACGACATCCCTTGCTTTCCATGCTCATGCCCAAGTGCATGCCCCAACGAGTCTTGCTTGCAAGCTTCCCCTTTCGCTCATCCGCAGGAATGAGGTATTGCACCATGCACCCAAATAAACGAACCATGCACATACATCGGGCTTGACTTTGTACACCACCAAATGAGGGGTCACACCATAGGGCAATGTGGACTGGTGTACACGGTGTACCACCCACAAAAACTGCTGGAACGTGAAGTTCCACCAGTGTGCTTTCACCCCCATGTGCCCCAACATCACACGCATGCCCCCTCAGTTACCGTACGGTTGCGGCGTTCAGCGGCACCGTTCAACTGGGGGGTGGAGGGGCAGGAAAGTTGATGCAGGATTCCTCGTTGCTTCAGCAGCAGCAGAAACTCGTCCGACATAAACTCCTCTCCCCGGTCCGACCGCAACAGATTCAACGTCATCCCTGTCTGGTGTTCGGCTTCAGAAAGCCACTCCTTGAAGGCCGCAAGTGCGTCGCTCTTCAGCCTCAACTTCTTCCCCCAGGTGTACCGTGAGAAAAGGATGTAGTACCTGCTTCCATTCATGGCTGGGGTCTGGATGGACCGCACACGCCAGTATGGATCAGTCCAAGAACCTGCTCCTGTCACTCGTCGTGCAGTGGAAATGATTGGTGAATGAGTTTGGCTTAATGGCAAGAGATGCACGGCATATCCTCACCTCCTTTCTCCAGGTCCATGCCTAATACGCCACCGCTCATGGCTGTCCGCTTCACTGCGTCGAAGTGGACGTGTCCAAGGCGAGCGTGCCACAGGTTGGGCATTGCCTTGGAGCTCACCGCGTACGTCTTGAGGCTGGCCGCTACTTCTTCACTGCCGGTTTTCTCGACGCCACATCAGCAACCACCTTAGACTTGCCATTGCTTGCCGTTGTAGCCACCGTGCCGTTGCATGCCGCTGCGGCCACCGTGTCGTAGCATGCCATTGCGGTCACCGTGCCGTTGCCTGCCGCTGCAGCAGCCATGCCGTTGCATGCCGCTGAAGACGCTGTGCCCTTGCTTGCTGGCCACGGTTTCAGGTCGAAGCAGAGAAGGCGATGGCAGTAGCGTGCCGTTGCATCCACTTGTCCTCCCGATGCGACGTTGTGTGTGACACCTTTTTTGGTTTGCAGATTTCTCCCTTGCCCGTGAGCTGCCCAGGGGAGACCTTGTTGGCCTTCATTCCTGGCACAAATAGGACAGCATGAAGGGTCACACGCAAGCCGTTAGTGCCCGTTAACAGAACTTCACCAACGCCAAGAACTTCTTGCAGTGAACCATCACACCCTTTGACGGATTTCGTTGCAGTTGGGTCACGGATCGCCGTGAACCACTCCTTGTGGCCGGTCACATATTGGGAGCATCTCGAGTCAAGGAACCACAAGTCCTTGTCGCCGGCCAGCAAATTTGTAGCCGAACAAGCGACGGTGAGCGCCACGCCTTCCCGTCCCCTTCAGCTACGTTCGCGGCTGCCGCGGGCGTTGCGTCCTTCTTCTTGTTGGGACACTTGACAGTCATATGCCCATCCTCATTGCAGTTGTAGCAGCGCCCTTTGAAGGGGCCTCGCTTCTTCTCCCGCTTGCCATCCTTCTTCTTGTGTGTCTGCTCCCTTCCTCCTTTCCCTTCCTTCCCGTTGACCCCCGTTGTAGCCTCGATCGTGTTGAGATCGCCCGAGAAAGCAGATGCATCGGTGGTGATATGCTTGTAGCTCTGTTCGATGGAGAGGGTCTGCTCCTCCATCAACACTTCGCTGCACACAGGATTCACCGTCATGTAAGGGCTGGAAATGTCAAGCTTGCGGCAAAGAAATCCGTACTCTGGCGGCAGGCCCTCCAGGGCGCAGCGAACGTGGCCGGTTTCTCCAAACTGTCCCCAAACTGTCCTGACAGGACTCTCTTAGGGTACTTGAATCGAAACTCGCGTGCATCATAACCAGCGCCTTAGCAGAAACTGTCCTGAATCTTTCCAGGGACACTTTTAGGACAGATGAGGATCACGAGTTCGAATCCCAGCGCCGGCATTTTGTTGCTCATGGCAGCATCTCCTTCTAACACAAACAACGGGGTGTATGTGCTCGACTTCGACATCCTGGACTGCACTGGCGACACGGACGAGTTAATCGATATCGTCCCGCTCCGCTTCGAATACATTCAACGGTTCGAATGGAAGCACCCAGACGGCAGGCCTTGGGTGCCCCACCATCAGCATGTGTGCGAGACAGATCTGCACAACCCCGGGCCCGACGGCGCCTGCAGAGACTGCCATACCGCCACCGCTTCCTGCACCAAAATCGCCTGCGAAGGACTTGAGGAGATCGAATGTCGTCCATGTAGACCAGAAACATCACCAGCTTCTCTCTCACCGTTGAGAAAGAGGCCCTCATCACAGCTGCTGGTCCTGAATCCCATATCCTCTAGAGAAGCTGCCAACTTCTGGTACCAGTAGCGTGGCGCTTGCTTCAAGCCATAGATTGACTTGTTGATCTTGCACACCCTGCCCGTACCATCTGTTGGGTGCAAATTCACATTGCACGACATCCTGCCGTCTGTTTGTACGAGTATGCGTGTGCGAATGCATTTGGGTGTGAATGGAATGTTCGTGTGTTTGTTTGCTTTCGCAATTTTCGCTTGATGCATTTGCAGGTACTCGCGCAATGTGCGCTTCGGCACAACATTGTACGCGCTATGAACAGTACAAGCAGAAAGAACGAGCTCGCAAAGGAACCCAAGATGGAAGCTTTGCAGTTCGGTTGAATTGATTGCGCAGATTCAGTTCTATCCAACTCGAAATTGTTCTGTTTTGTTTGGTTGACTATAGTGTAGCAGGGCAGGCACTATAGGGGTACAATTTAGGTGAAGGTTGGATCTTGTTTGTCTGTATCTGCATGCTACAGGGCCAGGGGAAACCAGCGGAACCAGCATTTGGCTGATTGGGCAAAGACAAAACAGGTTCTGTTTTTAGGACCTGAACCTGGTTGTTGTTTTCCTAGGTTGGAAAAACAGAACCAGAGGTTGTTTACCAACCTACCACCTGCTGTTTTGTCCAGCCAGGTTGGTTCTGTTGCTTGGAATTATTTGGGATCATCCCTGGTTGTTCCCAGGTTGATTCCCAAGGTCCTTGCTAGCTAGAACTATTTATTCCTTCTCTGTTTGTACCTGGATATAGTAAAACATTGATTCAAGCGAATTCCTTCCTTGCTGGAATTTCGTTTCTACGCGGTGCGACGGCAGAATGCTACCGAGTCAATGCTAGCACGCTAGCACTACGACGCTAGGCAAACGCTGTCCGATTCATAACTTTGCAATGGCAGAACATTTCGCGAGGCAACTTGGCTTGTTTTAAAGCTCTTGGAGCGAGCTTCGATAGAGCAAATTCCCAGCTTAATCCGATCGACGGTTTGCACAATACACTGCGCGGCGATGAAGGTACTCATGCTCTTTTGATTGCGTTCTTCTTATCCCTCTCTCTACAAACTCGGACCCGAGGATAAGGGCTGGTCTTGTACCACGCACCCAGGGACCCTTGGAGGTGACCCCGGGGAGAGGTTTAAGTTTGAATTGCGTCTTAATAGCTTGAGTTCATTAGGTCCTTACACCAACAAGCTGGTATCAGAGGTGCGGTATAGCGATCCTCGTTATAGGTAGCTATGGCGGGAAATACCTCGGCGGGAGCTGGTGAATCTTCAGCCCAAGATCGTAGCGGCAGCCAAGATTCTGGTGTTTCGGCGCCAAGGGGAGCGCGAACAAACCAGGGCTCGCCGATCAAGGAGGTGCTAAAGAACTTCACCGTCGAGAAGTTCAATGGTGAGGGCTATGATGATTGGGCCTGGAAAATGCAATTATATTTCCGTCAGATTGGATTGCTGAAACTAATGATTGGGGAGGAGCCTAGACCGAGTGACCCTGCGCTGCAGGAAGAATGGGACGAGCGCTCCTCGGCTGGCTACTACTTAATGTCGCAGAGTTTGGAGCTGAACCAGCGACACCACGTCATGCACCTGCTGCCGGAGGATAAGTGCGGTCCGAAGGCGTGGACCGTGTTGAAGGAGCTGCACGCCACAACCTCCGTTGTCGCAACGTTAACGCTGGAGAGGGAGCTGTCCGCGTTGCGCCTGAGCAAGGGAGAGCCGGTGCAGCCTGTCCTGGACAAGATGCGCGACCTCTACGCGAAGTTGGCGACCGCGGGAATCACCTATCCGGAGCAGACCAAGTGCTTGAAGATGCTGTCGCTGCTCCCGGAATCGTGGCTTCAATTTACGAGCGGATTGAGCCTGCCGCAGAACCAGAGCTTGTGGACGCTCGAGTGGGTGCGGACGAAGATTCTGGAGGAGGACTTCCGTCGCCGCCAACTGAGGGGTGGAGACGACGGCAGCAGTGGCTACGGGATGCAAGGGAGCCGACATGGCAGAGGACGTGGTTTCGGTGGTGCTGGACGCGGTAAAGAAGGACGACGACTCCAACGACCAACAAGGAGGTACCGGTTGGGGTCACGGTGCGAAATCTGGACGTGGGGGCAAGTCGGGTGCTGGTGGCAAAATGAAAGGGAGTTGCTGGTATTGTGAGAAGGAGGGGTACCCCTGGTTTTTGTGCTATAAGAAACCCGATGGTTGGACCCCCCAGAATCGTCACCAGGATGGCGGCGCGCGGAGGAACCAGAAAAACGGCGCGAACATGGTCGCCGATTCGCTCGACAACAACCCGAAGAGCAACGGCGGTGCGGAGAAGAAGAAGGAGCGCACCGCGGGCCAGTTCTTCCATATTGGAGAGCAGGGGGAGCAAGGAGACGCCTCTGCCAAGGTTGGAGCAGAGCTGCACCCCCTGGACTATTGGGCGTTGGACACGGGCGCTGCTTGGAAGATGACGCCGCGCAAGGACCTGCTGGACGACGTACGCACTGCACCGATCAACGAGGTGTGCTCCGCCTCTGGACACGCGCTGAAGGTAGCTGGTGCGGGACGAGCTGCGTTTAAGGGAGCGGATGGCAAGCCAGTGGTGCTGCACGACGTTCTCCTCGTTCCTGATCTCAAGGCCAACCTCATCTCCCTCCGTAAGCTTGCCAAGGCTGGGGCGAGCAATAACACGGATGGGGCTCGCACGTACAAGGGGCAGCTGGGCAATCGGGTGCTTTGGGATCTGCACGAGAGCAAGGACGTGTACAGATCCATGTGGCAGCTGCCGGCGTTGGCGTGGCACGGTGGGGGGCAGGCTGGAGAGGGGACTGCATCCCAGGGGGAGTGCAACGCCGTTGGAGGGGTTGGTGTGAAAGTGTCGGCCAGATCTGGGGAGACGGATTGGGCAACGGCACACCGACGCTTGGGGCATGTGGCAATGCCCTTGTTGAAGCAGTTGGAGAAGGATGGAGCCGTTAAGGGTCTGAAACTGAACGGACAGCCACCCGATGATAACTGTGAAATATGTTTGCTCTCAAAGTTTACCCGTTTTCCCTTCCATAGTGTGGCTGGCAGGAGCAAGAAGCCTTTGGAGCTGGTTCACATGGACTTGGTGGGGCCGCTGCCGGTGCAAGGGCACAAGGGGGAGCGGTATTTCCTAACCATTGTGGATGATTGGAGCAGACTCATGTGGGCGTATCCGCTGAAGCAAAAGGACCACGCCGCCTTCACGTTACGGGAAGATTGGCTGCCATTCGTGGAGGAGCAAGCGGAGTGTGTGGTGAAGCGGATTAGGACAGACCGGGGTGGTGAGTTCCTTGGAGCGGATTAGGACTATTTGTACTGCCCTTTTATCTCAATGACATCATTCCTGCACAGTTGATTCTCACAGGAATCCCAGCCACTAGACCATTGGGGAAAAGGGCTTGTTAAATAGCGGGTCATGTAAAAATATGGAAACAGGAATGAATCGAATGGGGGGGTACAAACATACAAGTAGGAAACCCTAATGGGTTGTATCCCTAATGGTACCCCAATATAGCCTACACGGAGATATTGCATTTGACACACCCCCGTAGGCTAAGTGGGGGACAACAAACGGTCACAAGACCAGTCAAGAGAAGAAACAAAGAACAAAGATCAGAGTGGATCTCAAGGACACCACACATTCCGAGCACAAGCAAGCGGCCACAAGGCCAGTTCACATGCAGAGTTATAATAGCAAAAGCAGTACAATGATTACAACCTAGCAACCAGAAACTTGCAGGTTTATATATCAAAGTACATAACAAGATCAAGAGACAAGCAAATGAGGCAGAGTGGGCACAAGCCCAAGAGCAGTGCAGAAACGGTGATGATCAATAGACCCAAGGGCCTTGGTGAAGACATCAGCAGTGTTGGCCCGTGTGGCCACGTAAGCAAGACAAAGCTGACCACGCTGCTGCAGCTCTCGCGTGAGGAAGTAACGGAGAGCAATGTGCTTCGTTCTGTGCTCCAGTCTCTGGTCCTGACACAAGGCAATCATAGCCTTGTTGTCGACGTACAGAACTGGAGGAGAACGAGGCCGCTCACCCAAGTCGGTCAGCAGGTAGGTCAGCCAGCGGAGCTCCTGTGCAGCCATAGCCACAGCGTAGATCTCGGCCTCACAGCTGGAACTAAGTACGGAAGAAGAGCGAGTGGACCTCCACGAGACAGAACCAGTGCCGAGGCTGAAACTGTACCCCTGTGTCGACCGGTGAGTCGCCTGCACGTCAGCCCAAGAAGCGTCTGGTGAGAACAACTGAACCCGGTCCTCCAAGCACGAGCACCATGCCCGATGTACTTGTTAGAATAAGCAAGCAGGAATGATGGAGTAGGTAGCATGCATGAGTACAAGTACCTAACC